ACCCATTCGGCACAGAAAACAATTCGAAGCACAAAAAAATCGAGTTGTTTGCATTTCGCAGTCGTATTTCCTTTGAAAACTGTCATCCTCTTTTGACAGTGTTTTTTTCTCAGTTTCAATAAAACACAGCTGACTGCTAAAAAATCCGGGGAAGCCGCTGTATTGTTGGAAAGTATGGACGAGATAACTAGGCAGGATTCGAAGACTCAAAAACTTGAAACCGACTCACAGTTGAGAGCTTGAAGTCCACTCGTTTGGAGACCAAAAAATTTGAGGGCTAGGAAGATTAAAACCAATTCTTCCTCTCATTTGAGGGCTAAAAAAATTTGAAGTAAATCCATAGTTACTTTTCTCTAACTAGCCTGTAGTATCCGCATCTCAAATTTGTGCTTAATTTCATAACCCGGGGGTGAATAAAACTACGAGTTCACAATTTTTAGCGTTTAATTCGTTTTATATTTTGTCTTATTAGGCTGAAATTCTACTCCTCCTAAGTTTTGGGATCTGTTTAGGGGTCGCATTCCGAACTGTGCTGATGGAGCACTCGCTGTCGTGCTCTACTGATGTCTTTCTTTTAAGTTCTAGATCGCCAATAGGCCAGTCATATCTCATTTATACTGTATCATTTGTTCACTGATTAACTTTTAGTTTGCCTTTGTCATAGGCAGTTATCACCAATGGTTTGGGATGAGAAAATCCGCTATTTGTGTACGACTATGCTTTTCGCAGTTCATACCAAAATCCAGAAATGCGTGGCCGTGACGATCCTAGTCGAGTATCAGTAATTACCAGATCTTTACAGGCTATTTATTCTAGGTCAAAACGTGTAGTAATTTAGGCTACAAAGAATTCCTCCATATTTTTCAACATTTACTTATTGTAAGGCAGCAGCAGGTCGTCGCAAAACAGCATAACCGGACTATCGCGAAAATATGAGTCGCCTTTATTTTTTGCTACTGTTTTTTTGTTGTGCTAATTCGAAATGCAAAGTGTACTTGAACAGAGCAGTGGGAAGTTGGAAAGGCGCTGTTGCTACTTCACTAAAAAAACGAGCATAATTTTGGTGCATAGTACTGCAAAGAGTGTGATGGGTAGCTTTTTGTTCACTAGTACTATTTTTAAGATGAAATGTGTTGAAATGTGTGACTGTGAGGGTGAGAGGAGGTAAATGCTCTGTGAGGATACCTGGGTCTGTACGGGTGCTTGGGTAAGTACCTGCATTGGTCCTCTCTCTCTTCCATTGTGTTTAATAATATTGCAATTGTCCGAAGAGGGGAGCATTGTTTGGTGTGAAAAGAATGGAGTGCCTGAGAGTACTGGTCTCAACATAAACACAAAAACTTGCAAGGTAAGTAGGTAGTGCTAGCAGGGAGGGAAAGGCACTTATGCAGTGACACTTTACCAGTCACCCTTCCTCCACATGCATACATGGTCTATATTGCCAATAAAAAGCTTTGAAAAGCAAGAAAAAAAGAATTTGCTATATGTGACGAAGCGTCCCTCACACCTGCTGAGGTCATCATCGGTCTGTGCATCATTACCATCCTTAAGAGTACTTACTCCTATAACTGCGCTCATTGACTAATTAAGGATGGCCTCATATGCATAATGGAATTCACTAGCAACTAACGTCACGACCAGTGAAGATTGTTAGCATCAGATGAAGGCCTGCGTAGCTCAAGTAAAAAGTGCTCACGTCAGGTAGAACGGGACAAATTGCATTAATGTCTGATAAATGAGCAAGGAACTTTAAATTTAGGTCTTGAATTAAGTGAGGAATTTCTTTCTGGCATCTTGTCCAGTTCGGTCATTAATAATTGGAAATGGCACCTTGGATATGTAATGAGATCCTGTGGATCTTTTTGTAGAATCACGAATTTTGGGGAATTTGCCAAAGCCGAGCTTAAGTTGATTAAACTTGGGGAATTTCTTAAGGACTTTTCAAAACCAAAATTCTGAGAATGATTTCAAAATTTATTATGAATATTACGGTCTTTGAAAGGAGCAATGATTCCTAAGAGACACATTATTTTAAAACTCAAACTTTGTGTTCCTTTGCAATGGTTCACAGTTGCACTGTGAACAGAAATGCTACAGATACCTCTGCGTGTGGCTACAAAATTCATCCCAATGGACAAATACAAAAAAAAGTTGAGATTTCGAAGAAATTTCCTGTCAGAGGTAAATTTGTTCAAAAATGGTGTAATGGACCAAAAACCGGGAATTAACTTTGGGTGCACTTAAATTCACTCCTCTGATCTTGGGCTATAAATTAGACCAGCATTTTTTAGGTCAAGGTGCATTGCATAATATTTTTTTATAAGTTTTAAAAGTATAAGATGGCAAAAATTAACTGGAAATAGCACAAAGTTTAAATAATAAAATTTATATGCGATTTTTATGATGAAAGTAAAGCAAAAAATTGAATGCTAAACAGGAGTGTTTCGAACCATATCTGCATCACATAGTTTCTCAGGTTTTTTGACTTGTTAACTTTTGGCCTACAATTAGGTTAATTTCTTGCAAAAATACTTGTTTTTGTTACTATTCAGTGTGCGCGCTACTTGATTCTTAAAGCTCAAAGCGGGCCAAGACACGTTTTAGGAATTATGATGGCTTAAGAACCGAGCCAGGGAGCTGTAAAATTATAATTGTGCAGCGGAACCGCTTTTTGCTTGTACTTTTTCTGCTGTGCCTGCAATAACCTATCTCAAAAACATATAATTGCGGGGCCTTCTGATGCACACCGTCAATTATGAGAAATACCTTTTTCATTTTCCAATTCCACCTTGTGCGAGTAATACTTTCTTTATTTTCAAAGAACTTTCCTCGCCCTGGACCGAATTTCCGTCCTTTATTTAGCGCTTTTATACAAACTCGAGTTTTTTGAGCAAATTCAGTCCAGTTGTTTAGTGTTAAATCCAAGTAACAATGCATGCCAAGGTTTCCTACGCGGTCGCGTGTTTTTTGCCATATCTCTATACAATAGACATAGTGTGTGTAAAAGCTGCTATTACATCTTTCATTCCTCACAGAATCAGGCAGTAT